GATTTCAAAACTTTTAAAGATCCTCGCAACCATAACACACTAACAGCATGACTTCCCATGAAATCAGACACTTGCTTTGTGCATGATAATGCTTGCAGTAGAACAGCATGTAAAATGATCAGCAGGCTTTCTCGCCAATCTGAGTATGACCATTAAACACCATTAAGATTTAGAAATTGTTTCCTACGGGGTTGTGGAGGCACAGTGGCCTCATGGTTACTACGCTTGTGCATGATTATGTTTGTAGTAGAACAGCAAGCAAGCAAGCAAGCAAGATTTAAAAACTGCCTCATACGGGGTTGTGGAGGGGCAGTGGCCTCATGGTTAGTACGCTTGTCTCCAGCTTGATCATCAAGGTGTGAGCCTTGGTTGGGGACATTGTGTTGTGTTCTTTGGCAAGTCACTTTACTCTCACAGTGCTTCTCTTCACCCATGTGTACAGATAGGTACCAGTAAATTTAATGCTGGGGGTAACCCTGCGATGAACTAGCATCCCATCCAGGAGAGAGTAGAAATACTCCTAGTCACTTCATGTTACAGAATAAGCTCTGACATGATGGGCCACATGGCTCGTATGCAGACTTTACATACCTACCCTAAAGGGTTAACATTTTCAATGGAGACGCACTGGCATAATCATTAAGTGCATAAGACTCCACAATGAGAAGTTTGCAGGGTTGTCAAAAGCAGCCATTGCTGATGAAAATTACCATTATCATTATCTCAGCCAGCTACTCTGCTGTAAAATTCATCTCGTTCATTTGCAGAGATGCCACCTACCCCGACACTAATACGGATTACTTCAAAACATTTTGACTACCCAGCCTCTGGAGTTCTGAAGCCCTGGTCAGGGACTTTGTGTTGTCTTTTCAGCAAGACATGTAACACATAGCCTACCCTGTGACTTTTTCAAGCACCAAGGTATAGGAATAAATACAAAGAAATTGTTGGGACAAAATAGGGGTTGGGGGGTGGGGGGTGGCCAAGATTAGCTATGATGGACTAGCATCTCCTCTGCGGATAAGGGGAGTGGGGAGGGGTGGAATGTAAAGCACTGTCACTGATTAATGATCATTTAAAGATCTGTAATGTTTAGGCTTAATTTCTTTAACTTGACAAAAATTACTATAATATGGCACTAGAATTAAGCACAGGTACATTTTTGATAGCAGACAACCACAGGCTTGATTCCAAGTGTCTTTAGATTTAATAATTCAGTGCTAAATAACTTTAAATGTCACTTACTGTGTAACAACTAAGGTTATTTGACTTATATGTAGTATACATATGTCCTTTTCTACTGATAATTTNCTACCCTGTGACTTTTTCAAGCACCAAGGTATAGGAACAAATGCAAAGAAATTGTTGGGACAAAGTAGGGGTGGGGGGACGGGGTGATCATTTAAGGATCTGTAATGTTCAGGCTTAATTTCTTTAACTTGACAAAAATTACTCTATGGCACTAATATTACGCACAGGTACATTTTTGACAACAGACAACCACAGGCTTGATTCTAAAGTGTCTTTAGATTTAATAATTCAGTGCTAAATAACTTTAAATGTCACTTACTGTGTAACAACTAAGGTTATTTGACTTACATGTAGTATACACATGTGCTGTTCTACTGATAGTTTAAATAATTTTTATCAAACATTCAGCAAAAGTAATGCCATCACCTGGAAAAATATTTAAAGAAAACTTTAAAAAGGCTACACTAAAGCTAAAATTTAAGGCTAATTAATGTAAATACAGTACTCTACAAATCTGGAACATTTTAAATTGATTATTGACAGCTATTTAACTTTAAACATCAAGGTAGGAAAGGTATCAAATGAATAGTTTCTATACATTGTCTGATTTCATGCTTGCACCCAATATGATGATAAAAGTAAAATTAATAATTATTACAATATTCTCAGTTCTCACCTTGACTTCAGAGTTTTCAACAGATCTCCCTCCTCCAAATTAACCAATATTTCTAAAATTTAACTAAAAAAAAGAAACTATGTTATAAATTTGAACTCAATCTATAAGGAAATCCACAACTGACTTTTTCATTAAATTATTATTGAAATAACTCAATAAACTTATATTTCTTGTTTCTCAGTCACTCCATTTTAAGTTATAGCAGCTCCATACCTAGAGACATAGAACTCACTTATATAAACTTAATGCTGGGCTATGTACCACTGTGAAGAG